CAAGATCTGTTTTTTGGCTTCTCTTATGTTCTTATGGATGCCTCACTTACCATGGAGGCCCAGGTTACTGCCACTGCCAGGTCTGCCTTTTTTCATCTGAGACATCCCAGGACTTAGCAACAGCAATCCATGCAATGGTCACTTCCAGGTTGGATTATTGTAACTCTATGTGGGGCTGCCCTTGACTCTGCTCCAGAAGTTACAGCTAGTGCAGAACACAGCAGCATGGCATTTGACAGTGACGCCTGTGTGGGCGCACATCAGCCCAGTGCTGCACAACCTTCACTGGCTGCCTATCGAATTCCAGATCCGTTTCGGGTTTCGGCTACTCGCTGATGGTCGCACCTCAGCGATGGGTGCATTTCGGAGTGTCAGGGAGGGGGTCTGGATGATTCTGGTCTCCCCTAGTTCCCTTGTAGGGGGCTGCTAGCCTGGGACATGAAAGGAGCCACTCCCGAAGCTGCAGCTAAGGGATTGATGCTCCTTTTTGTCCCTAAAGGTTCCACCGCCCCGAGGCCAGCAATGGTGACAGAGGCGCATGCCGGATCCAGATCGGGCAAAGGATCTAAGCAACAGAGACTTTCCCAATACTGTTGAGAGCTATCGATACTAAAAGTCACTGCCGAAGTGGAAAACAATATGTGTTAAAGTGGGAACGGATTATGCAACGGCAAAGCCCTGAGTTCAGGAGAAGGGGGGGAAGCCTTCCAGAGGGAGAGGAGTAACCCTACCCTAGAAAGCAGCAAAAACGCAATGAAAATTAAAGGCTAAGCCGAAAATCTAAATCGAGTACGTTATTTATCCCACTTTGAATGCTAAGAATCTTCTTTATTGTTCCAGAGAGGAATTCTAGAAAGGTTAAGAACTTTTACCTTTACAGTAAACAATGACACAGCGAGGGGGAAAGATGGCAGCCAGAGGAAAATCTTCCACAGGAACTGCCAGTTCAGCATCTCCGGTCACAAGACCAGAAGCTGCTGCAGACATTAATAGTATGCTTTCTGAGGCACTGTGCCCTCTGCTGGATCAGATGACTAACCTTAATAAGAACTTTGATGCTCTACAGAAAGAACTTAAGGAAACTAAGATTAAAATAGAGAAGACATCTAAAAAGCTGAAAAGGGTTGAATACAAGACAAAAGAATTGGATCAAAGAATGGAAGTAGCAGACAAAGAAAGGATGAAGGAATCACGTGAGACAATTCTCTTGAGGGTAGAGAAATCAGTCTGCCCCTTAAGGCAGCAAGCAGTTTATTTTATGCACACTCTGCCCCCACCCCACTCACCGTGCGCTGAGGTTGGAATCACGTACAGAAACCAGAGGAAACAGATACTTTTAGGGAGATTGTCTTAGGGATGCTTACATTGGTACAATGATTAACAAGCTACCTCCATAGGTACTACGGATGGGCAAAGGTCATCAGACTTAAAGCTATGTCCTGTTGATCAGAGTTACTGATCAATCCAGATATTTACAGAGTCTGGAAATATGGGCTGATAATCAGGACCGGCGTGCCTAATCGCTGACCTCTGCCCACAAAAGGACATGTAAAAACAACAATTATTACAGCTTCAAGTGGAAAGATCTCTATATGTCCTAAAATTTCAATGTATCCCGGAAAAGAAGGATGAAAATTTGAAGCAGCTCTTAAATGAAGCACTGGCTCGCCTGGCAAATTGTAAACCTGAATCACTACAAGCAGATATGAACATGGTTTATTGAACTTATCCAGAATTTGTCAAGAAAAATAATTTGCCAGGTGAAATATTTGTGAAATTTTCTAAAACATCAACAAGAGACTTGTTACTCAAAGCAACTAATGGGACAACTGTAAAAATCCAAGGAGAAGAAGCAAAGGTCCTAAAAGATGTTCCATTTGCAATATGAAAAAAGAAAGCAGTACAGGAATGTTACACTATTCTTACAAGGAAACTCAATTCCTTATCAATGGATTACTCCAGAAGGCCTTGTTTTCAACTGTAAGGGGAAAAAAGAAAAGATTGACTCTCTTATTAAAGCTAAAAAAATTCTGGATCAACATTAAAGCCTAGCGATGGAAAAAGGAAAAGCAAAGGACAATAACGTCCCAGAATATAAAAGCGAATAAGACGAGATAAACAGTGACAGCTCCTCTTCTACATCTCTCTCTATGGGCGATATTTTTGGCTCTGACTCTGAATCTGTATTAGGGGCGGCTGCTCCTAGATCATATAAGGTTAAACTCCCCTTCGAGAAGAAGAAGAAACGTAAAGGGAAGAAAACAACTAAATGAAGAATAGAGTATCTCCTCTGTACTTTATGCGTATTAATGCACATTCATGTTATTGTATTGTAACTTTTACCCTTTCGGTATACTCTTTATTACAAAGCTAATTACTATACTGTAAACTTAACCATTAGGGAAATATCAAAAAATCGAAATTAGATTGTCAGTTATTCTTGCTTACTCTGTATTTTAGAATTTAGAGTGGTAGTGTGAAGATGTAGAGATAGAAGCAATAAAAATCATTATTTAAAAAAAAATAATAATTCCGGATCCGTTTCAAGGTGCTGGTACTTACCTTCAAAGCCCTATACAGCCAGGGGCCAGCATACCTTCAAGACTGCCTCTCCCCATATGAGCCCTGTAGAGCACTGAGGTCCACCAACCAACATCTTCTGGTGGTGCCAGGCCCCAGGGACATCCTACTTGTCTTGACCAGGGCAAAGGTCTTTTCGGCCCTGGCCCCTGCCTGGTGGAATGAGCTCCCGTGTGAGATCAAGGCCCTGCGGGATTTATTACAATTCTGTAGGGCCTGCAAGACGGAGCTCTTCCGCCGGGCCTTTGGTTGAGGCAGCGGGCATCCCCCTCCTCCTTGGGTTTCCTCCATTCAGTAGCCTGTGTCCTTTGAGATCCTAAATTTTAAAGATCTCCAAACAAAAACTGAAACATAATTAAACCAGCATCTGGTTTTTACTAGAGTTGTATTATGCAATGTCATATTGTATTTTTAAATGTAAATTGTGTTTTAAAATGTTTTAACTGTATTGTATTTTACTGTTGGAAGCCGCCCTGAGCCCATCAAGGGGAGGGCGGGATATAAATCCAAAAAATAAATAAATAAAATAAATTATGCCTTAGAGAGCTGCTGCCAATCTGAGTGGACGATACTGACCTTGACGGACCAATGGTCTGATCCACTATAAGGCAGCTTCTAGGAGCTCTGTTGCATTCCTCCCCCCCTCCCCCCCGCCTTCCAGGACACAAAAAATGATGTGATTTCAAATGATTCTTATGTCTTCAGTGCAGCACCTGAAGAGAAGCCTGTGATAGGCCCAGATCCAGTAACTCATATGTCTTTTGCTGGGTGGTCTTGTGTCTTGACTGCTCTACTGTTCCTGCAGACAGTTCCTCTCTTGTTGAGGAGGGAAGATTCCAATGGTAGCATTCCAATGTTCCCCTTCACTGGGTTTATACTTAGATGCCTCTCAGTGTGAACAGAGATGAATGTGGCCTATGTGAGGCTCCTATATTAAATTTTCCCTGCTGCTTTGATCCTTTTCAAAGCAACCTGCCTGAATTTTTCCCCCTTGTTTTACTTTACTAAGATTGTCAGCTCTTTTCAGCTTCCACTGCTGCATTTCCTGGCATTTTTACGTATCTATATGTGACACCATAAATACAACTGTAGTTTTGCTGTGTCTTTTACCCTTCACGGGATGCCCCGACTTTGTTTTCTTTCTTTCTGAGACAGTCATAATATGCAGCATACATGTGGTTTCAGCACAGCATTTCTTTTTTCTATGATCTTTTGGAAGTAGTGCCATCTCCAATGTCTCCTTTGCTATGTGTGGGAACCTTGCTGTGGGCATGTGTTTACCAGTAACTCCTGGTGTTCTGCAATATTAATTGTCTTGACATTACTTTTACCTTGACATGATGGACATATTTACTTTGTCTCTGGTTTTAGTGCAAACACTCCACAGAGTCAAAGGAGGCACTGTAATTATGTTTTAACTGATTAGCAAACACCAGTTCTCTGGTATTCTGATTAGAGGTCTGGGCTACTTGGCATGGCCCTACAGTATTTTGTTTTTCAGATACATCAAACAACTCAATAAGAACAAAGTCTTAAGAAAAGAAGAAGAAGAAGGACGGACCTTCCCGGGCTTTCTGTAGTCCGTTTCGAACAATATCTTTCTCAGATGTCAATTCATGTTGTCTATAGTGTTCTTACAATTCCAATCTTGACTGTATATGTGGTGTTTACAAAAGTTCAGAAACAGCTGCTCATAGCTCTATTGTCTACCAGTCTCCATTCAGGATTATATGCGACAATAGAGCTATGAGCAGCTGTTTCTGATCTTATGCCAACTGCACAATGGCAGCAAAGTCTCACCCTTCACTCCCAAAGCAGGTGTAAAGATGCACTTTGTTCCCTTGTACAGCTCTACAGCCAGGCTGTTCCCTAGAGTACAAGTTTATATGCAACTATTGTTGTTCAGAGCCTGCAAAAGCAAACTTTACTATGAAGCTGTATCATGCATGAATCTTGGAAGGAGACAATTGGCTGTTGATAGTTGCAGGGTTTCTTGTAGTCAAATGGGACAGAGATAAGGAGCTATACCTTACTGGCCTTCCATTTTTTAGTTTTTGTGATACCCAAGTGTCATCAAGAGAAATGGCTGTGTTTCATTTACATTTTTCATCCAAAGTCCATGCATCCTGAGTACTGTTGCAATAGATGTCACCTATTTGGATGTGACCATTTAGGCAAGTTAGAGTGTATATCTTTTGCATGGACACTGCTACCACTGTCGTCTCACCTTTTTTTCTGCCACATTCTACTTCCTTGGATCGTGCTTTCCATACCCATTCCTAGACCTCCAAGGGCAAGGCTGGGTTAACATTCTTACCTTGCATGATTTCTATTTGCACATGATGATGTTAGAGTTACATATGCTACAATAGATGCCATTCTGCCCATCTTTCTTAGTTGCTTCTTTGCTGGTTCTGCAGGGTCATCCCCAACATCATCTCAGAATGCCACGCTGCCTTCATCAAGTGCCTGGCCACTTAGTGCCTCCGGCTACAGTAGCTCTTTCAGCAGCATTGCATCCGCACCTAGCATTGCAGGTACGACCAATGGCCTTTCTAACTAGAGTCCCTTTTTGTCCACAAAGAGGGGAGGTTCTGAACAGCTCCTGATCTTCGACGTGGTCTCTGTGCTTCACACCCATGGGATCTAGTGCGCACACGCTGGATCGATCAGCATTGTAGCAAGCTCTTTTAATGGATTTTCACGCCCAGACCTTGAGCATGCGCAGGAACCCCACCACGCATGCCCAGAGGGGAGGGCGCAGACACCCCATCAGTTCCTTTCTTACCGCCGCATTGGAAAGACCTTTTTCTTCGTTGGTCTGATCGGTTTGCGTGTTGGCTTTTTGCCTCACAGCTCTTTGGATTTTTTCCTCAGTTTATTCCTTTTCTTCGTTGTTCTTTCAAAAAACTTTTTTAAAAAAGCCTTTTATTTTCTGCTGAGGGGGAGGTTTCCGCTTTACCTCAGTCGGGCCTTCGGGCTACCCCCCCCTTCTTTCTTCTTCATTTTTGTTTTTATAGAAAAGAAGTGGGGCTTTTTTAATAGGTGCAAGGGTTGCGGTAGTAAACTTGCTCCTCCTGACCGTCATACCCTTTGCATACTTTGTCTCAGAGAGTCTCATCGACCCAAATCTTGTCGACACTGTGCTTGCTTTTCAAACCAGACCCGAAAAAACCGAGCTGCGCGCCTTAAAGTGGCCCTGCTAGAATCAGCTCTACATCCTTCCTCAGCGATGGATGCCAAGAAACCATCGACCTCAACGGCTCCAGCATCGAGGCCTGCCTCCGATATCGGCTAACCGACACCGAAGCCTCCGGCATCAAAGGTGCAATCCTCCGCTTCCACGCCGGTGAAAAAGAAATCCAGGCCAAGTAAGGAGCAAAAGTCCACAAAGAAGGGCTCTTCCAAACCCCTTAAGGCGGCAAAGAAGGGGAAAGTAGCGGTGGCTGCACTGGGTGATGCCCCTAAAGTGCCTCCCGCTCCAACAACTGTATCAATACTGGAGGCCCAAGTCCCTCCACCGATACCAACCATCCATGTCTTGGACTCCCCTGTCCACCAAATGGAGCGTCCTTACTCGATATCGAAATGGTAGAGCTCCTAAGTCATCAAATGGATGCAGAGCCTTCTCTGTCTCCTTC